GCACCATCCGCAGCAGCTCGGGCCAGGTGAAGGGGCAGAGGGTGACGCCGCCGAGCAGGCGGCGCGACGCCTCGCCGACGCGCGCGCAAAAGTCGGGCCCCGCGCTGATCTTGTGCGGCTCGAGCAGGTCGACGAGCAGGAAGTGCGTCGAGAGGATGTGCATCGCGTGCAGCAGCGGCGTCGGCTCGTCGCCGGGCTGCAGCAGGTGGACCGCCTCCCACTCCGCCCATCCGGAGGCCTGGATGGTGGCGAGCATCTGGCGCGGCCCCGCCGACAGGTCCTCGACCTCATCCTTCCGCCGCTTCTTGCGGCCCGCGCCGGCCGCCGCGCCGCCGCCCGTGTGCTTGGCAGGGTCAAACGGGACCATCTCGGCCGGCGGCGGCGGCGGCGGCAGCCCGTCCTCGCCCTCCCTGCGCTTGGCCATGTTGGCGCGCACCTCGAGCACGGTGGCGGCGGGGACGATCGCGCGGAAGAAGTAGGTGGCGAAGTCGAAGGCGCAGAAGAGCGCGCAGTGCAGCTCCGCGGGCAGAGACGAGGCGAGCCGGTCGGGCAGCGCGATCGTCGCCGCGCCGCCGTCCTCGTCAGTCAGGAGCGAGTCGTCGACCAGGGTCGGCGCGCGCGAGACGGCCGTCGACAGCTGCCCGCAGAAGCGGCGGTGCCCGCCGAGCGCGCCCATCGACACAAAGGCGCGGTGGCACGAGTCGCAGAGAAAGTTGCCGTCGGCGTCGCGCAGAGGCGGCGCCGTGTGCCCCGCGCGGAAGCGAGCCGAGCACGCGGAGCAGAGCGTCTTTGGCCCGTTCGGGCCGGGGCCCTTGCCGGAGCACTCGGTGGCGAGCACCTCACACCAGCCGCACCGCCACGTGCCCCCGTCGCAGAAGCGCTTGTGCCCGCCGAGCGCGCCGATGGTCTCGAACTGCCGCGAGCAGAGGTCGCACACAAACTTGCCCGCCTGGTTCACCTCGGGCGGGCCGGTGTGCCCGTTCTTGTGCCGGCTGCTGCACGCCGAGCAGAGCGTCTTGGGCCCGTCCGGCCCCGGCCCCTTGCCCGAGCACTCCGAGTGCTTGCACGCGCACCAGCCGCACCGCCACGTGCCCGCGTCGCAGAAGCGCTTGTGCCCGCCGAGCGCGCCGATCGAGTCAAACTGGCGCTGGCAGGCCTCGCAGACAAACTTGCCGCTCTCGCTGATCTCGGGCGGCCCCGTGCTGCCGTTCTTGTAGCGGCTGCTGCACGCCGAGCAGAGCGTCTTGGGCCCGTCCGGCCCCGGCCCCTTGCCCGAGCACTCCGAGTGCTTGCACGCGCACCAGCCGCACCGCCACGTGCCCGCGTCGCAGAAGCGCTTGTGCCCGCCGAGCGCGCCGATGGTGGAGAAGGCGCGCTTGCAGTCGCCGCAGAGGAACTGGCCATCCTCCGTTTTCTCCGGCATGCTGGTGTGGCCGGCGCGGAAGCGCGAGCCGCACGCGTTGCAGAGCGTCTTTGCGCCCGACGGGCCCATCGCCCTTGACGGCGTGTCGCTCTCTTTGCACTCGCACCACTCGCACCGCCAAGTGCCGCCCGAGCAGAAGCGCGTGTGGCCGGAGAGGGCCTATGCGGGGGTAGGGGCGGGTGAGTGAGGCGAGGCGGCGCGCGGAGGCGGCCGCGCGGAGAGGCGCGCCGCGCGCGAGTCGAACCGCTTGCCGCACTGCGGGCACGGGTAGACGGGCGTCACGCCGTCCTCGGCCATGACTGGCGCGACGGGCTCCTTCTTGGCCCGCTTGCGCGGCTCGCCGTCGGTGCGGCGCTGCCGCGGCTTCTTGGCGGGCGCGGCAGCGCCAACGACGGCGGAGCCCGCGCCCGCGCCTGCGAGGGCGCCGCCCCCACCAGCGGCGGCAGAGGCGGCGCAGCAGGCGTTGACGGCGTGACGGCCGTCCACCGCCGCCGGCGCGAGGAGGGCGTGATGCATCGCCCTCCCCGGCGGGAGGACGGTGCCCGCCATCTGCTGCACGACCGCCTGCACCTGCTGGTGCGCGGCAGGGCCCAAGCTCGGCGGCTGCGCCGCCTGCATCTGCTGCGCCACCGCCCGCGCCGACACATCGGACGTGCGCTGCTGCTGCTGCTGCCGCTGCTGCTGCGCCAGCTGCTGCTGCGCCAGCTGCGTCATCTGCGGCGTCATCTGCGGTGACGGCAGGTGCGGCTGCGTGTTGGGCGCGCACGCCGACCGCGAGCCGTGCGCGAGCGGCGGGTAGGAGCCCGGCTGCTGGTAGTTTTGCACAGTCGCGTAGACCAGCGCCGGCCGTGCCGCCATGTGCAGCTGAGGCGGCGTCGCCATGTGCTGGTGCGCGAGCTGCGCGTAGTGCATGCCGTGCTGCGGCTGGCCGAGCGCCGGCTGCGACGAGAAGTCCATCGGCTGCAGGCCGCTCGTGAAGCAGGCTCCATGAGCGGAGGAGCAGCCGCCCGCCGCCGCGCAGAGCGCAGGAGGCTGGGCTGCCAGGGCCGTTCCGCCGGCCGGCGCGTGGGCGAAGTGGTGCTGCGGGTGCTGCTGCTGCGCCAGCTGCATCCGAGCCTCCGGGCTCAGGCCCTGCATCTGTGGCTGGGGGGGGAAACCGGCCTGCGCAGCGTGCATCATCATCGCCGGCGCCGGGCCGTGCTGGCCGGGGTGAGGCTGGAAGGCGTGGGAGCCGTAGAGCGCCGCCGCGCCGACCGACTCCTGCGCCTGCGCCTGATGCGGCTGCGCCGCGCTCATGCTGTAAGGGAGCGCTCAACCCACAAAGTAGATGTTGTTCTGCCAGGTTGTGTTTGGCGTCGGCTTGCTCTCGCGCGTGAAGGTGGGAATGAAGAAAACCGTCCTATCCGCGCTCCCCCGCCGTTCTCGTCCTTCTGCTAGCGGCGCATCCCGTCTTCTTGTCCGTCTCAGCAGCGCTCTCTGTGGTTAGAGAGAGTGACAGATTGAGAGGGTCGTACTGCAGCCAAAGTTCGCTGTTAGATAGATCACAAGATCAACACACGGTTTGCTTCAATCAAGCTTCATGCCACCTCGCGTTCTTTCCACTCTCGAGTCTCGTCGTTCTCTCTCCTGCTGTTTCATCCTCTGACTCATCGCCCCCTCGACCTCGTTCTGAGACGCCGCCGCCGCTGGTTTTCTTGAACTGAGCACTTGATATCCTAATGTGCACTTGGAGCACTTGGAGTGCAGTCGGTAACCTCACATCCAGGGCCGGGGAGCTGAGAAGCGCACCCAGCGGGCCGGATGATCGGTATCGGGTTACGGGCAAGAGAGCCCTAGCCCTGGGGGGTGCGCGTTCGCAGGGAAAGGGCCATAAAGTAAACACAGGTCTCCGAGGGTTGGTTCTGCGCTTTGGGTGTCCCCTAGCGGCGGAACGCCCCCTCTACTCGGAGCTAGTAAACACCAGACACGAGCATGACGTACGCTCTCACCCGACATCGCCACTCAGGGCTCCTCCGGCCGATCCCCCCACCCCCCATCCGAGGGGGCTCCCCTCTCCTCCCGGTCCTCCCTCCGCCTGTTCGCTTTCCGATGGTCCGGCGTCGGCTGCGGAGCCCGCCTTCCCCTCTTATACTTCTTCGACCGCGGCCTCGCCGCCGTCTCGCCTTCTCTGTCTGATCTTGTTGACTCCGCGGGTGGCGATCCCGTGCCCGACTCCCCGGGCGAGGGTGGCGGCGTTGGGTTATATCGCCTCCCCTCCCCGGGGCGCGGGAGGTGGTTAATTCTTCTTTACAGTCTCGTGCCCAGTGTAAAGAAAGAAAGAAACAAAACAGACAACCCAAGGGAGGGAGCGGCCGTGCCCAGTTTCGTGCCAGGCAGGTAATAAATAAATAAATACAACGGACACGCCAAACGAGGGGTGGGAGAAGGACAGGGTCCCCACCTGCACAAGCAGGATCTTGTAGGACGATCGGGGACACAGGGGAACGGGAGCGGGGAGCGCATCGCGACACGGAGGGGGGCTGGGCAGGGGGTTCACCCTCACGACAGGAATCCCATCTCTCGTATAGGACAGGTTGCACCCGGCGGCACGGGGGCAAGCGCGGGCCTCCTACTGGTTGCGCTCTCCTAGTTCTCCTGCTCCTGACAAGGGACAGCGACAGGCTCGCAGCACGGTGGACTCCCTATCCACTGGCGATCTCTCTCGACTAGCGACCTTCCTCCGACGTCTCACCGGCAGTCTCTTCTACCACAGGCAGACTGACACGTGGGTGGCAGTGGCGGTGATAGGAGTCTCCCACTCTGTGGGCCTCGCTAGAAGTGCGACCCCTGCGCGTGTCCTCGCCCTTGAGGAAGGGGAAGGGGCTGTGTGTCTGTGCATGTGTACAACATGTGTGTGTGTGTGTGTGTGTGTGTGTGTGTGTGTGTGTGTGTGTGTGTGTGTGTGTGTGTGTGTGTGTGTGTGTGCTCGCTCGCTCGCTCGCTCGCTCGCTCGCTCGCTCGCGTGCGTGCTCGCATGCGCGCGCGCGTGCGCGGTCGCGCGCGCGCTGCGCGAGCCGCCCTGCCCGCTGCGCTGCTAGGGTTGCGCTGCGGGAAGGGCTCGGCGGCCGTTCCTAGAAATCCTCGTCGCTCCCCTCGTAGAGGGAGGGCTCGTTGGACTCGAGGAGTGGGCCGCCGTCGGAGGAGGAGCGGGCGGCTCCGCGGGCGACGCTCGCCCAGTTCTTCTTGTTGCTCTTGACCTCGCCGCCGCCGCCGCCGCCGCCGCGGCCGCCGCGCCCGCGCCGCCCGCGGCTTGTGCCCAGCCTGACCGCGCTCGGCAGGTGGTTGTAACATTCTTGTTTACAAAATTCTTCTTTACATCTCGGCCGGTTCTCGGGATCGAACGAATCCCGTGTCACACGTCGCCTCCCTCGAGCTGCTCGCACGCCGCGGCCCTAGCCAAACGACCATGCCCTGTGGGCTTGCGTACCTGGTGCTCAGCCAAATTTCCGACCCACTGCTCTCGGCATCCGCACCGCCATCACAGCCGCCGCAGCCGCCCGTGGTGACTCCGCAGAGCGCGCCTGTGGTGACTCCGCAAATGGCGCCGCCATCTTTGCCTCCATGCGTGGAGAGGCGTGGACGTGTGATGCGCTATTGCTCGCCGGCGTTCAGCCAAACTTCGTACCAGCCACAGACAATCGTCATCGGCATTTCCGGCCTCGTCTTTATCATCCTCGGCATGTCTATCTTTTCTGCGAGATGGCGCCGGAACCTGCCGAGCAGCAAATCCACCACGCCCGAGCAGACGACGCCTGACGTGTTGACGGTCGACATTGATGACGTCTCGGCTGACCGCAATGGATTGTGGGTTGTGCACACGGAGGCGGGTGACGTCTGTGTCGTGTATAGTCCGACGGGCCTTGCCGCGTAGCCGTGTAGTTAGTCACGCGTGTCAGCGCGTAGCGCTCGGTCTTGGTGGAACGGCACGCTCTCCGTACTCCGTGCGTCCCCTTTACATAGAGAGGACCACTTTCATCGCCGGCGCCGGGCCGTGCTGGCCGGGGTGAGGCTGGAAGGCGTGGGAGCCGTAGAGCGCCGCCGCGCCGACCGACTCCTGCGCCTGCGCCTGATGCGGCTGCGCCGCGCTCATGCTGTAAGGGAGCGCTCAACCCACAAAGTAGATGTTGTTCTGCCAGGTTGTGTTTGGCGTCGGCTTGCTCTCGCGCGTGAAGGTGGGAATGAAGAAAACCGTCCTATCCGCGCTCCCCCGCCGTTCTCGTCCTTCTGCTAGCGGCGCATCCCGTCTTCTTGTCCGTCTCAGCAGCGCTCTCTGTGGTTAGAGAGAGTGACAGATTGAGAGGGTCGGTTCATTCACTACAGCCGATGTAGTTAGATCAACAACTATTCTTCGTCATGCGGGGCACTTGGAGCACTTGGAGTGCGGTCGTTAACCTCACATCCAGGGCCGGGGAGCTAAGAAGCGCACCCACACCGGGCCGGATGCTCGGCATCGGGCTGCGCGGGCTGAGAGCCCTGGGGGTGCGCGGTCGCAGGGCCATAACACGGGTCTCCGAGGGTTGGTACCGTGTACCGGGTTTCCCCTTAACTGCAGAACGTCCCCTCTACTCGGAGCTTGAGCACTTGAGCACCGGATAGGGCCGATTCCGCATGGTACGGGACCCCTCGATCGTCTCGCCCACCCTCACTGGTGTGTTCATCGGGGGGGGTCATAACAAACACGGTCACTCGGAGCTAGGTAGGTCTCCGAGGGTTAGCTCCGCGCTTTGGGTTTCCCCTAGCGACATAAATGAATTGATAAAACCGACATCCCAAGCTAGCTAGGGCTGGGGCGAGGACAGTCACGTCCCCACCTACCTTTGCAGGATTTTCAGTGTACGTACTTTTAGCTTACTTACCGTCGGGTCTCTATTTTAAGATGAGGTAAACAGCAATAGATCCGGCCCTCAAGCGGCCTAATCGATACCCAGCCCTCACGGAATTGGTCCCTCGTTGTACAGCAATCGATCCTTCACAGTGCCCGTCCTGCCAACTTGCCGAGAATCGGTCCCCCAGGTCACCTGTGGCGCGAAGCTGATGTCTCCCGCCCTCTGCGCGCCCAACGCGCAGCGGCGGCAGACCACCCTCCGGTTCGAGGGGCGCCTGGGGCTGAGCGGGCTGCCTCCGCCAGAGTTTGGCTCGCCCACCGGCGGGCTGTCACCCTGCCACGGGTCGCAAGCCCTCTGCCGGCCGGAGCGCAGGCTGCGCGGGCTTCCAGCAATTGGTCCCTTGGCAAGCGCGAATCGGTCCCCCTGGCTCCAGGAATTGATCCGGCACTACACCCGGATCTATTGCTGTTTAAACCTCATCTTAAAATAGAGACCCGACGGTACTGGCTGGGAGAAAATGGAGAGGGGGTTGTGTATGTATTGTTAGACCTAAAGGTCGGCGCTTCGACCAACTAGGCCGTCATGGGCGCCGTCATGGGCGCTTCGACCAACCAACGGCGCCGTCATGGGCGCGCGCGGGGTAGCGGGGCGGCGGGGACACGGGTGACTTCTTCCTGAACGGGTTGCCACACCTCGACTCACGGCCGACCGGCGTCAGCTAGGGCTCCGTCTCGACCGACCCGGCGTCAGCTAGGGCCGACCGACCCGGCGTAAGCTAGGAAAGCGCTAGGAAAGCGCAATGGTCGGAGTGGGATACGGCAAGGGCGCCACACTCCCGGACGAGGAGGTGCGGTGGCTCACGCCCGAGCAGGTCGACGGCCTGCGGGCGGGGGAGGGCGTCCGGCTCCTCGACGCGCGCGACGCCCCGGAGTTTCAGAAGGCCTCGTTGCCGGGCGCGGAGTCTCTGCCGCAGTCGACGCTCATGTTCAGCCGCGGCAAGGTCCAGGCGCTCGTCGACGAGTTGGTTGGCTCGCAGGCAGGCGAGCTCTGCTTCTTTGCAAACACTGCCGGGCCCAACGCAGGCATAACGGCGGGCCGCGAGGTGTATGTGATGGCCTTCCTGCTCGAGCTGGGCCTGCCCTTGACTCGGATGGCGCGGCTCCGAGGCGGGCTCAACGGGTGGGTCGAGTCGGGCAGGCCGGCGCCACCGGCTGGTCGGGAGGTGGCGCCGCAGCTGCCGGCTGTCAGCGGAGGACTGCGCGGGCTCTGCGAAGGCGCGGGCCTCGGGCACCTCGCGGCGGCGCTGCCTCCCTCGCTCACCCTCGAGGCGGCCGCAGCCGCGGCGACCTCCTCGAGGCAGAGCTTCCTCGCCTCGCTGCGGGACGAGCACGGTGTGAGCAGGCTGGCAGACAGGCAGGCGCTGTGCAACGCGCTCAGCAAGGCCGTGAGGGAGGGGCGGGTGCCGGGCCGCGCCGAGGAGGGATAGCCGGTGTGCGGTGATGAATATGTCTCTTGTCCGGCGGCCCCTCCCGCGGCCCTCGAGGAAATATATTCTTCGGATGGAATGTAGATGCACTAGAGCAATCGTTAGGCAAACCCTCCCAGAGGAAAACGTGGTGTGCTTAGGCGCGCTCACAACAATCATATCGTGAATCTCGGAATGCTAGCCTGACGGGCGGCTGATGCCATCTGGGTCAGCCACAGCCTGTCTTGGGCGCCGCGCCGCGCGTGGCAGCAACACGCGCGCATCGCCCGAGATTACGAGCTCGCCGTGCTGGTTGGCGGCGGTCGTCTCAAAGTCGAGCAGCCGTCCGCCGCCCCCCGAGCGGCGCAACGTCAGCGTTGCCGTCACCGCGTCGCCGAGAAAGACGGGCCGTCTGAATGAGAGGCTCTGCGAGATATAGACGCTGCCCGGATAGCGGACGCCGACGATGGCGCCAAACATGGACGCGTAGAGCATCCCATGCACCACGCGCGCGCCGTACCGCTCCGAAGAGGCGAACGACACATCCGCGTGTAGCGGGTTGTCGTCGCCTGTCAGCCGCGCAAACGCGGTGACGTCTTCAGCGGTGAATACTCTGGTCTCGCTCAGGACAGCCGGCTCGTCGCTCGTGATCGTGGTGCTACACCGGCGGCCAGCACTCGGGCATCGCAGGCGGAGCCGTCGGCCTGCGGCCGCAAGCATACACACAACGTGGTGGGTGGAGAAGAAGAAGAAAACGGAAATGCACATCACTCCAGAGCGAGTTGGCATGAGGGTTGCAGCGAGAATCG